CAACAATTATGAAATAGTTCTTAAATGTTCGATGCACAACTGACATTAATTTCGTAACAATGTAAATAGGATTTTATTCTTTATTTCAATGTATCCTTGTGGCGTCATTGTTATAATAATTCATTTATCATTATTATGATAAATGATAAATGTTTCTATTTATATGCACAATATTAAAAAAATATTGATATACATATCTCTTTATCCTACTAATTTTAAAATATTTAATCTTAGATGAATATTTGTGTAGAAAAATATAAAATATGTATTTCTCTCTACTGGATTTAATAAGCTTTTCGAAAACATTCTTTTATTTTTTGTTTTCATATATAAACACTAATTTTTTTTAAGAAATTTGTAGAAAAAATATTTGTATTTAAAAAAAAAATTTTTTTTAAGTATTTCAAAAATTTTAATAAAACAAAACTTTTATTGTTTCAATAATCCTTTCAGCATACATATACAAAATCATTTATTTTTATTAAATTGCAACTTTAAATATAAGTATTTTTCGTATTATTGTTGTTTTTTTTTGTAACAAAAAGAAATTTTATTTTAATTTTTTTAATATAATTATTTGCAATAAATTTAAATTTGTAATATAATCAATTATTTAATATGTATTTTAGATAAAGATTAGTTCAATAATAATAAATTTCTGACTTTTATTTTAATTCTATAAATAATATTTTTCTAGCAAAATTGCCGTTAATTTTTCTATTTCGTATTCTCTCTTTCTACTCAAATACACATAAAAGTGTAACCTTTAGCACAATAGCATACAAAATTAACAATTAACAAAGAATGTGTCCAAGATTAAATATTTGTCCTTTATAGTTCATTCATTTTAAGGTAACAGATCCGTAGAATTTTTATTCATTTCATTATATCATTATAATAATAATTTATATCATATTTATAATAATTTATAATAATAAGATATATACCTTACCAATATTGAAAATCTATAGTTCGCTTTACGTATAATATAGATTTTCAGTATTGGTAGTATATTCCAATCACGGTCGATGTCGCTATATCTGACATATTATATATTATTATACACAGATTCGTCACCTCAATAATAATACTTTTATCAGTTGTCACTCACCGAACGATGCGCAATAATGAAGTTATCATTCAGGTAGCTATGATGATTCTATAATACACAAACATACAAAAATCAAGTTAAATTAGCACTCCAAATAATCAATAATTTAAAATATAATTTTTATACTCAAAAAATTTTTTAATTGCATTTCAATTAAATATTTTTTTAATAATTATACATTTTTCAAAAAAGAGACCTTCATAAAAATAATTTTATAAAATTTAAATAATTTTATAAAATTTTAAATTAATTTTTTTCTCTTATTATTATATCTAATTTCTAAATCATCAAAATTCGAATAAATGGGAAGAAACGATTAATTGTATGCAAATAAACAATAATAATACTTACGGCAAGGTTGTTCCACCAACGCCTAATGCCTCTCCTAGGCCTCCTCCCCTTCTCGAATTATCTTCTTATTCAGTTCTTCTTCATAAGTTAAAAATGTTCGTCAGGTTATATTCGCTTCATGATGTGCAGAAGAGTTATAATACATGCAACACTAATCTGTAACACATACAAATATATCTATTATAATTATATACCTATTATAATTATTTTTAAATAAA